GTGGGGGCTGGGGGAAGAGAGGACAGGCAGCTGGTTTGCTAGTCACTGGGGATCTTAGGGAAGACAGTACAGGGGAAGGCCCGGGGAGCTCTAGGGAAAGCCTGCACCCCCTCGCCATTTCCCGCTGAGCCCACCGGGCCAGCCTCAGCCACCTGAGGTAAGCATTGCCCTCCCCTTGCAGCCGCACACTGGCTATTTCTCCCTTTGGGTCCAGACTGTCCTCTCCTGCACCCACTCACAAAAATATAACCGTCCCCAGGGACGGCTAGACGTTCATCTGCTGAGGTGACTGAGATGAAAAGAGGCGGGGATGGCCCGTGAACCAGGGTGCGGGGGTCAGGCAGCCAGGGCCCGGGCTCTGGGCGCGGGAGGCCCACCCGCTCCCCTGCACCCCGCCCAGGTTCCACAGGCTGGAGAAGTGGCGGCGGCCCTTCTACCGCGTGCTGCAGGTGTACGAGAACGCGTCGCTGCTGCTGCCCGCCTTCTACAACACGCGCAACACCGACGTGTCGATCCGCGTCAAGTACGTGCTGGACGACTTCCAGTCGCCGCAGGCCGTCTACTACTTCCACCCGCAGTACCTGGTCAACGTGTCGCGCTACTGGCTCAGCCTGGGCGTGCGCGCCAAGCGCGTCAGCACCGGCCTCATCCTGGCCACGGCGGCGCTGGAGCTCTGCGAGGAGGTGCACCTGTTCGGCTTCTGGGCCTTCCCCATGAACCCCTCGGGCCTCTACATCACTCACCACTATTATGACAACGTCAAGCCCCGCCCGGGCTTTCACGCCATGCCCTCCGAGATTTTCAACTTCCTGCACCTGCACAGCCGCGGTGTCCTCCGCGTGCACACGGGCACCTGCAGCTGCTGCTGAAGGCACGCCGGCTGCCTGGCGCGCCCCGACCCCAGAACCTTGCTCTTCCTTTCCCTCCCGCGCCAGGCAGGGCAGTCAGTGGAAAGGTCCGGCTGAAAGGCTGTCCCTCCTTCAGTAGTTCAGCTTCATGCTTGGGACTTGTGGGTTTGGGGCCGACTCAGCTCTGTGCCAGGCGTCCTGGGCCTCAGTCCGGGCCCTGTGCCTCTGCAAGCGAATAAAGCACATTTCCATTCAATTTTAGCATCCAAGAAAGAAGAGCACAAAGTGTAGCGGCCTTGTCACAGCTAAAGGAAGGCCCTGTGGAGAATGGAAAAGAGGGAGACTGGAGACGGGAACGTGTGAGCACGGGCAAGATTTAATTCAGACTTTTGGGTTCCTGAGTTTTATTCCAACTCTCAGTCCTGATTTGCTGTCTAGAATCTCAGAGCTTAGAGGCCAACCCAGCCACCAGACCTTCCTGTGAAGACAGAGAGGTCCAGAGACTCATCAGCTAGGGCTACACCAACTGACTGAGTCCCTTAAGTGATGCTTATGCAAGGCCTGCGTGTTAGGATCTTTGCAGAGACACCCTCGGCTGAGGAGAGCTGCACTGTTTCAAACATATCTTCAGATGCACACACAGTCTCGGTGCCTCCCGGTTCAATCCTGCATTTGATTTTTTGATGAGAAGGAAATAAACCAGACCAGCCATTTGCACTAAGGTTTTCAAACCAATGTTATTGACTCATAAGTGCTCAGTGATTTGCTTCCTCTCCTGGCTCCTTATTTTCAGCTCTGTTTTAACCAGAAGTTATTTATAAGATCCTTTCCTCTTCATGTTCCTGAATCCTGCAGATCCCTGCTATATTGAGCCCCTGAACAGGAACTGTAAAGCTCTGGGTGAGCCAAGTAACTGGTGAGCTTAGCGGCCAGAAGCACGTCATGACCTCTGACACCAGCATCACTGAAGGGTCTACTGCACAGGCGAGTCTTCCCACACAGCACAGCCTGGCAGCCTTCACACACATGGGCCCACAGGGCCTGGGCTTTGGGAAGTCAGCTGTGTCTAGGCTGAAAGGGGTCAACATGCCATTTCATATCTAAAATTCATTCCCTTTGCTTCCCCCTTGATGTTTCCACCATAATGCTGCCGTGCCTGATAGACACCGTTGGTAAATTGCCTTAGAACTTAGCTTTGTGGGATCATAGACTGTTAGTACTGGGGGGACTTCAGCCCCCTTCCTCCCGTCCTCCCTTCTTTCCTCCTTCCCTCTTTCCCTCCTTCCTTTCTTCCCTCCCTCCTGTAAACATGTCCACAGTCTGTTCTTCTTTAATCTGGGGTTGGGCTTGGGCGTGATGACAAATATGGACACATCTAGTTTTATTGCACTTCACAGATGTTGCGTTTTTTGCAAGTTGCAGGCAAGACCCTCCACCAGCAAAAAGATTAGGACTTACTTTTATTGTGGTGGTCTGGAACCAAACCTGCAGTATCTCCAATCCTGTGGTATCTCTGGCTTCTAGGGCTAGAGGGTAGACCGTGAGCAAATTTCAGCCCCACATGCTGGGTGCTCTGAGGAGGAGGAGGAACTGTGAGAGCACAGCAAGGAGCAGGACCTTTCATCTGATGCTTCATTTTACAGGCACAGCAACAGGCCCAGACAGCGAGAGACAGAGGAGAGTGCAGGTGCTGTCCCGGGCCTCCAGAGCTTTCTTCATCTTGGCTTGTGCTTCATGTTGGTGGGTTGTTATAGAGCAGGTGCTCCGTGCACAATGCTGTTCCACCTTTGTTCTGAGCTCTGGTCCTGACTGGGAAAAAGCTTCAGGCTGCTCTGAGCCCCAGCCTGCTTTTCTGCACGGCAGGGAAGTAGCCAAGGAGGCAAGGTAGGCCCAAGTCCTTGGTAAACGGGAAAACTGCACAAGGGCAGGGCTTGGCCATGCTTTCTTAGGTTCTGCCTATGTCTCCCAAGGAAGGAGCTTCTGGGGAAGATTCTGGTTAACTGAGGTTTCCAGCCACTTGTTTGTGGTTAATTGAGCCCAGTTCTTGAAACTGTGAAATGTCAGAACTGGAAGGTTCTTAAAGATCATAATATCCCACTTAAGGAAACAGGCCCAGAGTGGGGAGGTGAACAAGGTCAAGTCATGCCTGGGGCTCTACCGAGTGCCTGCTGTGGACAGACCCTCAACCAGAAGCATGCTCTAGTTGGGGCAGTTTGGGAGCTAGATCCTGGGAGAGTCACACACCAGGGTTCTTGCACCAAGGGTGTAGTGGGCTGGTGTCTGTCCAGCCAGGGCCCCTGTAGGAGCTGGGTGTGAAGCATGAAGATTCACTCCATGTAGGAGCTGGGCTTCATGGCTCATGTCCTATTTCTGCCTGTAGGTCTTACAGCAAGTGTCTTTCTCTCCCTTAGGTTCTCAGTTTCCTCATCTAAAACTAGAGGCTTAGATCTCTAGTGTCTCTATAATCTCTAATTTTTTTGAGGCATTCATGATGTATAGGTCTAAGCCATAAATATTTATGATTGTAATAGCTAAGATTTACTGTGCTCTCATTCTGTCTCAGGCCCAAGACTGGTTACTTTCTTTGCATTATTTCCTGTAGTCATTACAGGACTCCCTTAGGTAAGAAGATTCCCATTGGAAAGGTGAGGAGACTGAGGCTCAGAGCGATTCTGTGACTTGCCCATGGTCAGGGACCCAGTGGAGAAAACTGCACTCAGGTCTGTAGAACCCCCAAGTCCGTGCCCCAAACCTCTGTCTTAGCTGCTTCCCAGCCAGTGTCACCAGGGCTGGAACAAGAAGGATCCTGATTGAGGTGTCACTGCATGTACTGGTTCCTGCTCTAGGGACAGATGCTCTGGGAGGCTGTCATGGGTCTGGAAGACAGTTTCTGCTTGTAGGTGCTCCCCTCCCCCAACCTTCCCTCTGGCACTGGAAGGGAGCTGAGACCATCTCCACATTTTGCAGGTGATCAGAGATGCCCAGGAAGAGTACACATTAAATGGTAACATGGTGAGTGACTTGCTCAAGGCCACATGGCCAGCTAGTGCCTCAACTGGGATTCACCCCATCTCCTGACTTCCAGCCTGCACTCTTTCTCCTACAGCCAGTGTTTGTAGGAAAAACATTTTCAAAGGCTCAGAGCAACCTGGGCATTGACTCAGAAGCCCCCACCGTATTCCTTGCATCCCTGTCACTATCCCACCCTGCGGTCTAGACTACCAGTTTAATTCTTATTTAGGGGAAATTGATGCTCCACAAACAAAACAAAATCACATCTTCCTTTGTGCTAAATCCACTGCCCCAGGGTTGAAAGGCAGCAAAAACAAGTAAATGACTTGGTGCTTAGCAAAGCAAAAAGGAAGGTGGCTCCAGGTCAGATGCGGCCTCTGAGACCAGTCAGCAGTGCTGCCACGGCAACTCTGCCCGCTTGTCACCTGGGGCTGCAGGGAGCCCATCGACCTTGACTTTGCTGAGCATGGGGAGGAGGCAGGGGCAGTGCTTTCTGACAGTTGAGGGCGAGCACAGAACTGGCTTCAGCCAGGCGCTCAACCAGTATTTATTGAGCACTCATTTCGTGCTGGGCATTGTGCCAGGTGCTGGGGAACTATAATAGTGATGAACAGAACAGCCCCTGCCCTCCTGGAGGTCGCAGTCCAGTGGCTGGGTCCAAACACTGAACCAGGAATTCTGCAGGCACCCGTGAGAGCTGTGCTGAGTGAGTGCTACCATATCCGGGCTTGGGGACAGTTATCAAGAGAGGAGGACAACGACATGCCTGAGTAAATCCTGAATTCCGAAGGTCGGCAGGAGAAAGATGGTAATTGCCAAAGCAGTGGATACTTCTCAGGTCTCATCCTTGACATCCATGTGACATGAGACAGGAGTAGCCTCTGGTCTTTGAGTTTTCTCCTCTGTTTCCTCACAAACCACTCCCCTGCTCCCAACTTGCCTCCTGTCTCCCTAAATGCTCCTACTTAGGCCCCTCTGTGGATTCATCTTCTGTGAAGCTACCTCAGGGTTCTCTTCTCTTTGTGGGAACGTTCCTTCAGAAATCTCATCTATTTACAGCCTCGCGTCTCTTCTGTCCTTGCGTCTTAAACCCCTTCCCTGCAGGCTGGTCCTCTGTCCGAGCATCAGAAACATGCTCACCGTGGCCTCCTGAATGTGTGTACCTGCATGGCATCTCAAACCTCAACATCTCCCCAACTGGTACAGTTAAAAGGACAATCTGGATCCCACCTCACCGCCTGCCACTTACTAGCTGGGTGAGGTCCGAGGAGCTGCAGAAGCCCCTGGAAGCTCAGATGAACAAGGCCAGGTCATCAGCTTCACCAGCCATGGCAAGCGTTAAGTGAAATAGTGTTGCATGATGCCTAGCACAGTGCCTGGCACAGACTAGACACCCAGTGAGCACAGGTTCCCTCAGCCTCCTCCCTTCGCCAGTTGTCCCTTGGTGAATGGCCCTACCGCAGCCCTGGCCACTCAGTCCCAAACCTGGGTCACCCTTTGCTCTTCCTTCTTCACCTTCTGTGTCTCTTTGTTCTGCAAATCAAGCCAATTCTGACTCATAAATATTCCTTGAATTTATTCCCTACTTGCCTTCCTTCTACCCTAAGCTCAGGCCCTTCTGACTGATCTTCTGCTTCCAAAGAATTACCTTCTGATGGAGTCCATTGCCTGCCTGTACCATATAGCCCAGATTCCTCACCCAGGCTGCAAGGTGTGTTCCAGGCTGGTTCACTCACTTCCCAGAGACCCTCCTGTCATCTCCCCACCCCAGTCCCATACTCCTCCAGGTGCTGGGCCTTGGTACAGCTGTTGAAAATGCTTGGATTGGCCCCACACCCTCCCTCCCTCTCTCCTCCCCTTTACTCTGTCACTTTTGCAGATGATGTGAGGTTGCGGTCCTTGCATCCTTCCCTCTGTGCTTCTGCCCCAACCATCACTGACTTCTGTTAGGACATCCTGTAGCGCATGGCATGGGCATCTTGTGTCCTTGGCTGAAGCTGTGTCCTTTCCCCAGTGGAAGCTGCCTAACCTGGCTCGCCTGGGTGCCCCCAGCCCGGCACAGAGCCAGGTGTTTACTACAGCAACGGGTCTCTGGTGACCTAGTGGGCTCCAGGGTCCAGGAGACCCTGTTGAAAACTGAGTAACATCCTGTGAAATTGTCAGCTTAAGAGAGTCCCTGATTTTTTTTTTTTGCCTAGTACCATCTATGTGGGAAGCACTGAGCTGTGTAGACGCCCCCAACTGTCCTCAGGAGCTTGGGGCCCAGAAGCGGACGGTCTGTGTTGTGGTGGCTTGTGGGCTCCACCACCCAGTCTCTGCTACCCTCTTTGTTTCCATTATAATCTTGCTTATCTGCCTCTTGCCTGCTAACCAACCCTCTTTCTCTAGTTCTAAAGAGGGAAAGACATTTTTTTCTCCC